CTGCCACCCCTACTGAAAAGCAGCTGGAAAAGAAATAAATGAAACATAAAAATATTTATTTTTATTATGTCTCCACCAGTAACATAGACCCTCTTATAGAATATAAAATGTTATGTATAAATTTGATCTCATATCACTATCAGTGATTCAAGAAGCCAGCTGCTGTGATAACTCCACGGCAGAATGACTTTCATATAAATAAATAAATGATTGACATAGCTATTTATTTTTATCTTTATTTTGACCGACCTTTTGGAAAAGCTGAAATAAATATGTGAAACAGTACATTATGTGGAGCCTGAAGATACAATTAGTCAAAAGTCGAATTTTAGAGGTTTTCAGGAAGCATTTTCCTTGATTTTCCTCGATCTTGGTTGGAATCATAAAATGGACTCTGCTTTTAGGAGAGATTTCTTATGATTATAAAAAAGGGTTTTGTTGATTTTATTTAGATGTTGTTACAAACAGAACAAATATATGACAAGATATTGATTTGGGGTCAAGTTTGAAACACAAAAGCATTTCCTCTCATCTTAGTCATGACAGAAGTAGCCAAACAAAATGATTATCAAAATAATTATTAAAACATAATTTTATCCCACGCATCAAACATTTATGAATTTATATGCTTTTCAGTTATGATCAACACTATAATATTAAAATGGTCTTCTAAAGTGCCTCTACTCTTTTCAGAGAACTAAATATGCTTAAATATTATGATTTATGCCAACAAGTTAACAATAAGAGGAAGTATGTCGAGTTTTGGCATGTGTGACTCACGAGTGGAGAATTCAGGTGCACATGTTGATGGTGTTTTGGACAAGGCTCTGTGGCAGAGGAGGCCAGGCTGTCATCCTGCAGACATCACATCAGCGAGAGTGATGGCCAGTTAGCCCACAGAACTGTTTAATCTTTGAATGGTGCCCATACCTTAAAACAGTAAACCAATACCAGTGTAGGATCATTCACAAAAGTTGTGTTGGTTGTGGTTATTTATCTGGTTTTTTACACAAGTGTTTCTCATGTGCCTAAACAAAGAATTTGTCTCTTCCAGACATCAAAGATATGATGCCTTCTTTTTGAATTCATTGTTTGAAATTTTGCACCTTAGGTAATTTGATTGTTGAATGTTTCCATTGTTAGGCAAGGCCAGGCACTTTTCTTGTTTTAACAGGTCTACCATAAATTTGGCAAAAATTAAAAAAATAGGATAAAATAAATATGCTGTCTTTGATATTTTATCAAAGAGATTTCATTTTATATCATTGTATTTCATATCAACATATTACAGTTTTCTTACTTTGCCTCTTTCCTCTTGTCATAGTTACAATAAATTCTGTGAAAATATATTTGTCTGACCTGATGGGTACATGGTGGTAGATAAGAATACTCCAGAGAACTATTGTTTTACCTACTTAATATTTTTACTCCCTAGAACTCCAAACATTTTGCCAAGGGAGATATCTGTCTCTCTTGGTACAGTGAGAATGGGTGTTACTTTATAATAAGGTGGAGGTGACCTTACTAGCTGGCTATACGTCAGAACATGCATCATGTGATTTGTGTTGGCAGGATATATGCAGACATTTATGTTCATTAACCTCTGTCAGAATTATGTTAAAGTAGTTTTACTTTAAGAAGCTATTCCTGGATCCAGTTAAACAAGGCAATCTTACAAGACTATCCCAACTCCAGTACTTTAACACAGACTTCATAACTGTATAAGTCTACAGTCACTTTGGGCTAGTGGTCCAAGATTGCTTTCCTTAAAATAATTTTAGCACTGATACTGCAAGACATTTACAGACTTGCAATAGACATAACTCTACAATCACTTTACAATCACTTTGGTCTAGTGGTCCAAGGTTGCTTTCCTCAAAATAATTTTAACACTGATACTCCAATACATTTACAGACTTGCAATAGACATAACTCTACAATCACTTTACAGTCACTTTGGGCTAGTGGTCCAAGGTTGCTTTCCTCAAAATAATTTTAGCGCTAATGCAACAGTTACTCGATTACACTGACGCAAATTTGCTATAGTCAAATAGTCATAGCTCCATAATTTGAGAAAGTAGTCCTTGGAAACTTTTCCTTAAAAGAATCTTAGCACTTTCTTAAAACAATCTTAGCGCTTTCTTTAAACAATCTTAGCACTTTCTTTCAACAATCTTAGCGCTTTCTTAAAACAATCTTAGCACTTTCCTTAAACAATCTCAGCACTAAGACTATTCAGACTGACCTAATAATAAACACAGGCTTGCAGTAGACAAGCTCGACAGTCACTTTATGCAAGTAGGTCCCGATCAACAATGGTAGTTAGCTGCACAAGGAAGTAGGAAGGTTTTTGATCGATCCAACGTCAAGCTCATGGTGTAATATATTCATTGTCAATCTATTTTGTCTGCTGTCCTCACCTGTGGGTACACATTGCAGGTGTTAATAGTTTCAAGACATGAACTTGAATAATGACGTAAAACAATATCTGTGCGACATAAAGTAACACTTGTTTTAAGGTTTTAAATTTTATTCAGTTTGCGTCTTCATGAAAAGGAATACAAAAATTCAGTGTCTCAGTTCAACAAAATTCAGACCATATTAACTTGTCTGTTCTCACATGTGAAAATATTCCAACTTGATTTAGAGATAAATAATCATGTTGTTGTTCCAATGTACAGTAGGGTGGCTTGTACATTAAGTGTGAGGGAATACACGACATGGAAAGGTTCCTTAAAAAAACTTATTGTGTTACGCAATAGCAAAAGGGTTTCACCTTCATGAAATATCTGTCCCCATATATGGATAACAAAACCAAACTATGTTCACCTGCTTGTCACATGTAGAAGTTATATTTAGAAAAAAGAGCCTGCTAAAGCTGACGGATCTTTTATTTTTTACACAGCGATACCTACTGTGTCTGGTATTCTGAAATTAGGGATTGGTCTAGGATAACAACCTAGTGTGTTTGGCATACACATTGGTAAAAAATAATTCAGTTGTTTGAATTTGGGATTTTTTCCGATTCTTATTCTCTTAAATTCAGAGGTATTTTACCGATGTATTTTTCCATTGAATTGAATGCAACAGTGTAAACTAGGCATTTAGGCCTGCTCCTATGTTAATGTATCAGTCCTGTTATCAGTGATACAGAAGTCACCTCTAGAAAGGGGGCGGTCGGGTAGCCTAGTGGTTAAAGTGTTCGCTCGTCACGCCGAAGACCCGGGTTCGATTCCTGACATGGGTACAATGTGTGAAGCCCATTTCTGGTGTCCCCCGCCGTGATATTGCTGGAATATTGCTAAAAGCGGCGTAAAACCAAACTCACTCACTCACCTCTAGAAAGCTATAACTTTACTTATCACTATTAGGGCTGGGACGGGTAACTCGGATACTCGGGTCAGGTGGGTCCTGAATATGGACTACCCGGACCCGTGCTTTGTCACGTGATATATTGTTCAATGACAAAAATTATCTAAAACTCTATGCATACACTATAAGTCACTAATAATCCCATTTCTTTTTGACAATGCACCCATTCCTTCTGACTTTTATATGTTTGAATAAAGATAAAACTTCATGCAGTAAACTTTAGTGTATGCATGACCAGATCATTTTACACGAATATCTAACCAAATACATTTTGCCAGGGCTACGGTCAAAGTTTTCAAAATTGGACAGTTTGTATCTATCTGTAAATATCTACAGCGGGTACCTGGGTAGGGTCGGGTAATAGGGTGGTGGGTACCTGGGTAGTAACTTTGGACTCGCCCCAGCCCTATAATCACTATATTATTTTAGTTTCTGTTTGGGATTTATTATTGACATTTACTGCAGATTTGGCTCCAAATATTAGCCTCTGACTACGACTGAATAAATCTCTGAAACGTTGGTGAGTCAATTTGACCCAGAAATAGTGACTATACCTGCTCTGAATACACCGGTGCTGGCTTTGTGTGCTTCAAGTCCAAGGACTGGGTGACATTCACAACACGTTCTTGACAGGGGAATCACAGGACACTCAGTTGACGTCCCATGTTAAGGGCTTCATGCAGAGCACATCTGGCCCTGATTGAGCTGTTGAAGCAGCCCTTCCCTATCCATACTTGGGAGATTTATCATTTCATGAGAATTAAATGTAATTTATCCTGACGTTAACTTATCTGGAATGCATGTAAAATTCTTGAGCGAGTTTTTTACACAACTTTATTGCCTATGACCTTTGTAGAATGTGCTGTGCAAGTCATGTTCGTGGTGTGTGTAGTTGAGCAGTGATGTGGAGACTGTTATTCAGTCAGTCATGCGTGCTGTGTGTACAGTGGATAGTTGAGTACTATTTGTTATATCTGATTCATTGCTGGCGATGTTTGTTTGTTTGTTGTTTAACGCTGCACTCAGCAATATTTCAGCTATATGATGGCGGTCTGTAAATAATTGAGTCTAGTCAAGACAATCCAGTGATTGACATCATGAGCATCAATCCACACACAGACACACACACACTAACACTAACACTAACACTAACACACACACTAACACACACACTAACACTAACACGCACACACTAACACTAACACACAAATAATCGAGTCTGGACCACACAATCCAGTGATTGACATCATGAGCATCAATCCACACATACACACACTAACACTAACACACACACTAACACACTAACACTAACACACACACTAACACACAAATAATCGAGTCTGGACCAGACAATCTGTGATTGACATCATGAGCATCACACACACACACACACACACACACAAACACACACACACACACACACACACACACACACACACACACACACACACACACACACACACACACACACACACACACACACACACTGGTTGACAGTCCAACATTGTACAGCTGGATGTTGTGCCTGTCACAACTACTTCATTCACACAAGACGAATGTGTTGCTGGTGGTTGTCCTTGAAGCCATGTACCCTACACTGAGTGTTACAATGTGTGTTCCTGTTTCAGGTGAACCAGTCTTGCAGGACCGAACTTTGTCAGAATGGAGGAACCTGCTCCAATATCAACATCACACAGACATCAGGGGTGAGTACAGGGGTCGATTTAACTGCTGGCCCTTTGGCCCATGGCCAGTTAAAATTACAAAGGGCTTGCTGTAACGTAGAGTAGATGGTCCATCTGGCTAGTCAAAATTTCACTCCTTCTCATGTATGTTTAATTTTTTAACAGGACTCCTACTTGTGAATCATGTAATTTTGATGAGAAAATATTTAGGGGGGTTGAGGTCATAGATATATGTTGATCATCTCGATGAAATGACAACCAGACGCCATTTTGTAATGTTGTGTACAACAGCATCTTTATTTGATTGTTAAATCGCCACGAGATGAGGCAAATGGAGGCCAAGATTTTATCTCAGAGTGCAGGAAAAGGCGTTTCAGGGTGAGGAGATCTAAACGTTTCAGAGCCCTGCAAGGTGGCTATGCGGCCTCAGGTTCAGCTACTTCATGGCCTCCACCAGTTGGTTCTAGGCCAGTTACTTTGGAGAAGGGTCAATAACTCTTAAAAAGTGCACGCCCTGCTGGATACATACCAATTTGTTGTTAAATCTACCACAGAACGGCAGGTTGTTTGATCCTTCGTCAAAAGGTGGTACTTGTTATTACCCTGCCTGGCGCTTGGCATGAAGGGTATAAAACAAGGACTTGTTAGGTCCGAGTCGGTATTATGTGTCTGAGTAGGGTATCCACTACTGGCATAGTATCTAAGTTGGCTGGCACGACTAAACCATTTGTCCCGACTGGTCCAAGCAGCCAATCACACACATACAAACACACATGCATGCACACACATCGCTTTTTGTTCAATCATCATGAAAGCGTCGTTAGACCCCATTTTACTTGACTTGTTGGATTCTGACTCGGACAACATTCATTTCACTATTTCATGGTTCGCAGATAAGTTACTGTAATGAAACAGGATGGTTTAAAGACACATAACACATAACAAAACAAATAATTACTCTTCATGAGGTCAATATGCGAAAACTAGGATTCTCGGACCCGATCCCTTCGGCGGTCCATCGGACCATCTCGGGGGTCGGGTCCTTGTTTTCGCACACTGACCTTATCAAGAGTAGTTATTTGTATGATGTCAGAGCTACTTTATGCCCCATCATCTCAATTATATTTTCCATTCTCCTGATGAAGGAGGGGCGGTCAGGTAGCCTAGTGGTTAAAGCGTTCGCTCGTCACACCGAAGACCCGGGTTCGATTCCCGACATGGATACAATGTGTGAAGCCATTTCTGGTGTCCCCCGCTGTGATATTGCTGGAATATTGCTAAAAGTGGCGTAAAACCAAACTCATTCACTCACTCCTGATGAAGGGGCAAGGTTAGCCCTGAAATGTTGTGTATATATGATAAGGAATTGTTAACCATGATACTCCTTGTCATAAAGGATCTGAAATAAGTTACACTCCATCGGAGGTGTTCCAACTAATTATGAACATTTGTCGAGAAAAACTATCCACATTCCACTGACGAATATGTACGAATAAAAATACAATTGTCTGTCATTGTTATGAATGTAGGGAAAGATTGGTGTCAAAGGTGGCTTCTGTCTGACCTTTCCAGACCTATTGATTTAAATGTAAAAACCTCGACACATTTTGTGGGAAAGTAAATACAAGGCAAGCTTCACAAGTGCATTTAGTAAGTTATGGAAAATATGACGTCTCTATCACTAGTGACATGCAGAGAAAGCCTGCACAGTTTCAGGTATTTGAGTATCTTCTGTGTTGTACTGTTTCTCATTAAATGGTGAAACGGGCCTAACAAAGAGCGAGGTGTTCAAATATTTCCTCACAAACATTGTGCAGAGCAATCAATGAGCTGCTCGATAAACACCCTTGCCTCAGGGGCACGTCCATGGCACACAGTGAACATGTTTTGATGAATTCTGAATTTTCGAACTTTTACATTTAGAGGAACCTAAAAAAAGTTTAGGTAAATGTTGACGACTAATGTCAGTGTTTATTTTAAGTTTAAATTTGGGTTCTGGAAATGTATTTATTGAAAATACAAAATGTGACTGTGAAGTATGTCAGTAGAGAGCCCCAGTGGTGGAATTCAGTGTCAATCTCTCAATTTCTCAATCCTGCTTAAACTTACTTCCTTGTAAACAACACATGTGGATATTGATTTTGGAGAACAAAAGGCAAAAAATTTCCATAGCATCTGTGTGTAACGTCTTTGTAAGGTGTTGATTCATCCAGTCATGTAGATCCAACATCAAGCAGACTCTTGCATGCAGTTTACTGAAAGACCGCCCAAAGCATCCAGTACCTCAATAGACCATTACCCAATTCAACCTGTGAATATCTGGGGTAGAATAGGTCTTCAGCAACCCATGCTTGCCGTAAAAGACGACTATGCTTGTCGTAAGAGGCGACAAACGGGATTGGGTAGTCAGGCTCACTGACTTAGTTGATGCCTGTCATCTTGCCCAATTTTGTAGATTGATGCTCATGATGTCAATCACTGGATTGTCTGCTCCAGACTTGATTATTTACAGACGGCTGTCATATAGCTGGAATATTGCTGAGTGTGGCATTAAACAACAAACAAAAAAACAAAGTAGCTTACAATCAGGATGGTAATTCCGAAATGGAGTAAAGAACAGGGGACCTCTACTCCCTGTGTCTTGCACCCTGTGTGATACCAGGTCCCCAGCAACCTTTTCTGGTTGTGAGGGTGACCAAATGGATTGGTTGGTCGGGCTCAGTGACTTGGTTGATTGGGTCTTCGTACCCTGATGGTGTCAATCGTTGCTCACAACATCGATCCCTGGGCTGTCTGCTCCTGACTTGATTAATTACAGGCCACTGTCCCAGCTGGTGTCGTGCTGAGTAGGGGGTGAAGAAACAAACTCAAACAGACACTAATATGTACAGCTTCCCATAATGACCATCTCTGCAGTCTGTGCCAACAACATAACCTACTACCCCGAACTAGTCTTTCAAAGACATTTCACTACAATTTTGTCTATGGAGTACTATTAGCTGAGCTTACTTAACCGAAATACCTTTTACTTGACTCTGGCTTTGAAGTAGTTGCTAGATGGCCACACGACCTCTGGTTCGGCCACTTCACAATCTCCACCATTTAGTTGTAGGCCAGTTAGTTTGGAGTAAGGCCAGTGACTTTTAGAAGAAGCAGGCCCTGCTGGCTACATACAAATTTGTTGTTAAATCTACCTCTGTAGCAATGAACTTATAGAATAAGGGTCTGTATTTTGCTATGTTGCTATATATACATTGTTCTTTCCAGACTGTAGCTTCATTCAACTGTACATGTGCCGCGGGGTACGAGGGACCTCTGTGTGAACGACCCCAGGACTTCTGTTCTGTTCAGACATGTGGGAGCAGGGGGAATTGTACCTCAGATCCTGACACTCGGTCCTACACCTGTAGCTGTGATGCTGGTGAGTTATACACCTGGTTGGCAGGGGGTGGGGAAGTAGGGTAGGGGACGGTGTGAGTGTGGGAATAAGGGGAATTGCACCTCCCATCCTTACACTCAGTCCTACACCTGTAGATGTGATGCTGGTGAGTTATACACCTGGTTGGCAGGGGGTGGGGGAAGTAGGGTAGGGGACGGTGTGAGGGTGGGGGAAGTAGGGTAGGGGACGGTGTGAGGGTGGGAATAACGGGAATTGCACCTCCCATCCTTACACTCAGTCCTACACCTGTAGCTGTGATGCTGGTGAGTTATACACCTGGTTGGCAGGGGGTGGGGGAAGTAGGGTAGGGGACGGTGTGAGGGTGGGAATAAGGGGAATTGCACCTCCCATCCTCACACTCAGACCTACACCTGTAGCTGTGATGCTGGTGAGTTATACACCTAGTTGGCAGGGGGTGGGGGAAGTAGGGTAGGGGACGGTGTGAGGGTGGGAATAAGGGGAATTGCACCTCCTACCCTGACACTCAGTCCTACACCTGTAGCTGTGATGCTGGTGAGTTATACACCTAGTTGGCAGGGGGTGGGGGAAGTAGGGTAGGGGACGGTGTGAGGGTGGGAAGAAGGGGAATTGCACCTCCTACCCTGACACTCAGTCCTACACCTGTAGCTGTGATGCTGGTGAGTTATACACCTGGTTTGCAGGGGGGTGGGGAAGTAGTGTAGGGGATGGTGTGAGTGGGAATAAGGTAGGAAACACTGTGAATGTGTTGAGGTGAGTAGAGAGAATGAGGGTTCAAGATTACAGGAAGCTGTATTTGATCTAGTCAGTAGCTAAAATTTTGAAATGCTTTTGAAATGCTTCTGTCAATGGCTTGGACAGATGACCTTGTTGCATTGATTGCCACACAGTTGGTGTGAGTTTGATGATGTGTGAAGCCAAATCTTGGGGCACCTGCTATGTATCGGCTGGAATCCTGCCGAAAGTGTCTAGATAAGAATAATAATATTTCCAGATTCCCTTCACCAACAGAATGCTCATGGTACCAAATTGATATCACCCCGGTTCACTGGATCAGTGTGCACTCGATTTTCATTCTCAGCTCCCTGGGAATATGCAATATGCCTGCAAGGTGTTATGAAGTTAACACTACAGCCATTCTACATGAACACCAGTAGAAGGCAGAGCAGAGTCTGGGGCGAAAACTCCAGGGAAATTATATCGGGGATGATATATTTATGAATGTGGTAAACTCAGTGGAACAATGCTGATGCAGTCTGTGATGTATTCCAGGGTGGACTGGCACTAACTGTGAGACCAACATCAACGAGTGTCACATGTTGGCGTGTGAGAATGGTGGAACCTGCCAGGACGCAGACAGTGGTTTTGTTTGTAACTGCACGGACGGTAAGTACAACCCTGCCATTATTCCAAGACAAGGCTATGGACACAATTGCTGTGTATCTTTCATGCAAATATCAGTTTATCAAATAAATCAATATGATAAAGAAATATAAAAAGTGCAAAACAAATTAAAAATTTAGATCCAACACTGCAGCCTTTTCAGTTTCTGTCCATGATGCAGATCTCTGTCCATGATGCAGATCTCAGTCCATGATGTAGATCTCTGTCCATGATGTAGATCTCTGTCCATGATGCAGATCTCTGTCCATGATGTAGATCTCTGTCCATGATGCAGATCTCTGTCCATGATGTAGATCTCTGTCCATGATGCAGTTCTCTGTCCATGATGCAGATCTCTGTCCAAGATGCATATCTCTGTTCATGATGCAAATCTCTGTTCATGATGCAAATCTCTGTCCATGATGCAAATCTGTTCATGATGCAAATCTCTGTCCATGATGCAAATCTCTGTCCATGATGCAAATCTCTGTCCAAGATGCATATCTGTTCATGATGCAAATCTCTGTTCATGATGCAAATCTCTGTCCATGATGCAGATCTCTGTCCATGATGCAAATCTCTGTTCATGATGCAAATCTCTGTTCATGATGCAAATCTCTGTCCAAGATGCAGATCTCTGTCCATGGTGCATTTCTCAGTCCATGATGTAGATCTCTGTCCATGATGTAGATCTCTGTTCATGATGCAGATCTCTGTCCATGATGCAAACCTCTAACTCAGTCACTCATTCACATGGGCACAACATTTATCAACAGAACTATTTTTTGTATTTTGATCAGATATGATATTTGAAGATGAAAACCTTCAATGTCCTCTTTGTTTGTTTGTGTCAGGTTGGACTGGCAATCAGTGCACAGTGCGTGTCAAGGTGTGCAACAACAACCCGTGCCAGCGTGGCAACTGCAGCGACGTTCAAGGAACCGCTCAATGTAACTGCACAGGTTCAGGCTTTGAAGGTAGGTGGTTCATATATCTATATTGTAAAGAAACTATTTTGTTCAAGATTTGAGTGCATGGGTGGCCGTCATATAAGGTTAGCAGTGTGCTGTGTAGAGTTACCTCCCTTTGGAGTGCCAGGAGCCTACGATTCTGGTTTTGCATTCCAGATTATCCTCAATGATACGTCTCCTCCCATACTAAGCGGACACGTCATGATTTAATTTAAATACTGTTCAAAGCAACATTAAACCCAACTCACTTGGTCATGTGAGGATTTGTTCACATGTGAGAAAAGTTTGGAGATGAGTTTTACATAATATGAAATACATTTCATTTCTCATATTGCATATTATCTTGTGTACAAAACTGATAACCTTTGAGTTTATGATCAAATTGATCAAATTATGAGAATAAATGTTTAATTCAGAGAATCATTTTATATGCCTCCTTTCATATAATCATGACTTGCAACCGGTACAGGTGATGGATGCACTGTCGAAGTTAATGAGTGTGACGACAACCCCTGCCAGAACGACGGCACCTGCAGCAACACGGAGGGCAGCTACATATGCAACTGCACCATCGGCTACACCGGACCCAACTGCAGCATTGTAGACTGTGGTCAAGTCGATTGTCGCAACGGTGGAACTTGTGGAACAAATGCAGACAATACCAAATGGAAATGTCACTGTACAGAGTACTATGCAGGTAGGAGAAAGATGCCTAATTTGGAAGATTTCTTATTGGGACTGACCATATCATATCCTGTCGAGCTGTTAAAAAAATATTATTTAAGAATAATTTTGCCTCAGATTTTACACAAAGAGAATTGCTTGTGATGCTGGTCGACCTGAAATATAATTGTTCTCCAGATCCTTCAGATAAATTAATTGTATGTTTTGAATGTTCAGTCTCAAAGAAAAAGCCACATCTCCCTAAAAATAGTATATGATTGGTCTCTTTGTTGACTGTTTTGAATTTTTCTTTTTTTTTAACCCTTGCCAGGAAGTGTCTGTCACATATTGTTTCAAGAACATAACACGAGGAACATTGAATATTTCTTGATTGAAGTCACAGATTAACTCACAGATATCAGTCTAGCTGGAACTTCTGCCTTTTTACTTTTTTGGAAATTTTGAATTGGTTTAAAGTTTTATTTCTCCAGTTTCCATGACAACAAATTGGGATTGAACACTCTGACAGAAATTCTGCCATTGTGTTATTTCCTATCTGAAGTAGCCCATGGTATTGCATCTCCATCCCAATAAGTTCCTTTAATCCATTCTGTACCACACCTTCATTGGGAGGTCGAATTGATTTATATTTTTATTTGAGTGAGTGAGTGAGTGAGTTGGGTTTAATGCCACCATTAACAGTATTCCAGTTATATCGTGGTGTGTCAGCTTAATGTGGGAGGAAAGCCCGAAGTGATGCAGGTCTCAGACATTTACCACTTCGGTGAAACCCACGAGCACGGGTATGGTGCTGACAAACCTAGAAACATAATCGGAGCGAACCGGGATTCGAACCCACAATCATAGGTTTCTGGTGTGCCCAAGAAGTAGTCCTGACACAACCAATGAAAGTTTTACGTCTAGTTTCAAAAGAAGGAATTCTTACTTTTATTGTATTTAGTTGTAACACAATAAGACTTTGTTGCCCAATCAAGATTCATCTGTGATGTGAAATTGAATGATTAAATGAATGCTTTTTTATTTTAAAAAATGAATAATTTTATGAATGGCACATGTGATGTTGCAGGTGACATGTGTGACATCCGAGGTCCGTGCTTCAACCAGACGTGTGAGCTGGCCAACACTGACCAATGTGTGCAGAACATCGAAGCCTTCAACTACACCTGTGTCTGTAACAACGGTACGACTTACAAATACCTGACTGCCTTGCATCATGTGTATGGCATTGTCTTATGTTGTCCCGACATCGCTGACTGTGGTGTAAAACGTCACTCCGTCACTCACTCAAGGTTGATAGTAGGGGTAAATTGATACATCGGTGCACCTGTGCATCGAGTTTTCATGTGACAATACAATACACGATATGTTTTTCTCTGCATCGATACAAAATGATACACTTGCTGAAATAAATTACTTACTACTTCTAATGACCCGTGGCGTTTTTGTCAGTCAAATATCGCAAAATGTGTTGTACCGTATTTTCTTGAGTATAGTGCGCACCCATGTATAATGCGCACCCCCCTCTAGCGGGTTCAATATTTTGGAAAAAAAGAAATTTGAATATTATGCGCAGAAATTTTTTACACCGTACCCTTTTTAGTGAAGTCCGTCAAACGAACGGGTGCTGAGAAACTTCGTCAGTACAAATTAGAAATTTGAGATAAAAAATCACCAGACATGTTTATTTACCGTTTAAATAGTATTTATTGTTCTGCTAGGCATTGTTTTAAATTTAGGGATTAAGATTACCTTGCGTATTTTCTCCTAAACTAAGCTGGAAACAGCAATCAGCTGTACACACGTTTTCTTGGAATCGACCGGTGATTTGGTCAAGACACACCCAATGATATAACTTTATAAGATTTTTTAATGCAAGGATCGGCAACAATTGTATCTGAAAAGATTTTTTTAATCAGGAATAATATATTCCATTATTTTCTTAATTATATGCAACCTTTACTAAACATATTTAAAATAATAATAACCCTAAGCGAAGCAGCTGATCGCTATTCCCGGGTATTATTTTTTACATGGAACATGTCTGACCAGTCACCGTCAAGGCTCACGCGCACGTGATCACGTGATCGCGAGAATTTCATGTTGACATAGAATCGTCAAACAAAAACAAATATGACTTTTAACGAGTCAAAGTATGTCATTTATGATATATGTATCCATTCTCTGTCAACTAAAGTTTGTTTCAAGGCGTCAATAGCGGTATTCTGACCATGGTTGCTGTTAATAACGGTGAGTTGTGAGATCTTCCGATCGCTTCACACACGATTTCGCCGAAATTAATAAAAACAATATTATAAGGAATTTTGAATAAAATCAATGAAATAAGTTACAAACATAAGTCCAGATATACAAAGAACACTTTTTATAGCCAGACAGTGTAATTACATGATTATTTTGCGTACTTCAGTATGGATTTGTTGACATGGTATTTCCGGTGTTACGCGCTCACGGTAGTGTCTTTCCATGGGGGAAAAAAACATCAAACTCATAATTTGTGTATAATGCGCACCCCCTTCTACACAGCTGTGTTTTTTCGAAAAAAAGTGCGCACTATACTCAAGAAAATACGGTAATTAGCGTTTCAAGTTCACTACTAAAAATAGCCGCTATGAGCCGGTTGTTATCTGTTTGTGGACGGTTGTTATCTGTTTGTGGACAGTTTTTATCTGTTTCTGGACAGTTGTTATCATGTGGCTGTTGTATGTTTTCAGGCTGGGAGGGAGACAACTGCACCCAGGACATCAACGAGTGCGACACAGGTGTGCAGCAATGTCAAAATGGCCACTGCAACAACAGCGATGGCAGCTACAGCTGTGACTGTTATCCAGGATACATTGGCCAGCTCTGTGATATTGACATTGACTACTGTCAGCCTGGCTTCTGTCAGCCTGGTGTGTGTACAGAGAGAAACACGTCCTTTTCCTGTAACTGCACAAATACAGGTGAGGCAGGTGGAAGGGAGGCAACTCTGTTAGATTATCTCCCTTTCCGTTACTTATGAGCGTGTATGTCAGATTATCTCCCTTTTTCTTGCAATGATGAGGGTCCTGATGGGGGGGTGTTACAAGTCAGTAGTCAGTACAATGTGGGACCTTAAACAGTAGTCATTATTTGTTTGGGTAAATCAGTAAAAAGATCAAGAAAACGGGGGCAAGCTGTCAAGTTGAAAATGCAAAATTATATCTATGCAAATGCAGATTGTCAGTCTGTAGGTAGGGTAACATCGGGACTGCCGGTTCTGCTTTCATTTCATTACCACAATTCATGTTTTGCAAATACCCAACTTATTTGTTGTGTTGATAGATCTCTATATACAACTTACTTTGATGTTAGCACGATTGCAAAAAAAGGTAATGTTTTAATTTTTGCTAAGCAGCTTCTTTTGGCCATTTAAGTTAATGTTTTTACAATAAGATTTTAATCATCGTATGTTTACAATAGTTTTTTTTAGTTTTATGTTAAACAGTATACCCCATCAGGACCCTCTTAAGTAATATTTTGATATTACTTCCGAACTTACTTTTTTTAGATGTCATTATCTGTTCATATCTGATGTAGTGATGTGAATATTGATACAGGAACCACCCTGATTAGAATAGTGTCTCAATTGCTTATAATTACACAATGTAAAGAATATATTAGGAGGTATTTTTGTCACAAAATGAACACAAGCAATTAATAGTGGGACTAACAATGGTTTACATGCTTTGTTTGTTGTTTAATGCCGCACTCAGAAATATTCCAGCTATTTGACGGCAGTCTGTAAGTAATTGAGTCTGGACCAGACAATACAATGATTGACATCATGAGCATCGATCCACAATTGGAATACGATGACATGCATCACCCAAGTCACCAAGCCTGACCACCTGATATCATTAGTCGCCTCTTACAACAAGCGTGGTCACCTTTTTCAGTAAGCATGGGTTGGTGGAGACAAATTCTGACCTGTGGTTTATATGCAAGAGTGTTTGCATCAGAACTAGCTCGTGGGGGCTCTGGGTTAGAATTGGTAGCTGTCAAGCTATACAGGTCACAGGAGGCGCCTTAGTGGATTGGGTGGTCAGGCTCAGTGACCTCGTTGATGGAGTGTCATCAGACCATGTGTGGGTGGATAGTTCATAATAGCAATCACGGGATTGTCAGGCTCGCTGACTTGGTTGTTGCATGTCATCGTATCCCAATTGTGTGGATCAATGCTCATGATGTCAATCACTAGATTGTCTTGTCCAGACTCGATTAATTACAGGCCGCCATCATACAGCTGAAATATCGCTGAGGGCAGCGTTAAACAACAAACAAACAGCATTAGAATTTTGAACACAAGGATGTGTATTGGAAATGCAATGCCTGATTTAGCTGACATATCTTTAGCAGAATTACTGCATCTGTAGTCCATAACACACGGGGTAGGATAGGTCTTTAGCAACCCATGCTTGCCGTTACCCGTGACGATCCGGGGTAGAATAGGTCTTCAGCAACCCATGCTTGCCGTTACCCATGAAGATCCGGGGTAGAATAGGTCTTCAGCAACCCATGCTTGCCATAAAAGGCGACTATGCTTTTGTCGTAAAAGGCGACTAACGGGATCGGGTGGTCAGGCTCGCTGACTTGGTTGATGCATGTCATCGATCCCAATTGCGTGGATCGATGCTCATGATATTAATCACTGGATTGTCTGGTCCAGACTTGATTGTTTACAGACCGCCGTCATATAGCTGGAATATTGCTGAGTGCGGCGTTAAACAACAAACCAACCAACCAACCTACCATAACACACAAATTGAATTAAACATTGCAGGTTATGAGGGAGAAGACTGCACAACGGATATCGATGAATGTGAGGTGAACAATTCCTGTAGAAATGACAACATGATCTGCAACAACACGGATGGCGGCTTCACGTGTCCCTGCAAGGCCGGTTTCCTGGGTCAGGATTGTGTGATGGACCCGTGTACTGAGACCACCTGTGACAACGAAGGAACCTGCAACTCCTCCAGCGTTGACAACATCAGCTTTGAACCTGTGTGTTACTGTGCAAGTGGCTATGAGGGCGCCAGATGTGAGAAAGCGGTATGTATGTCTGAAGGCAGACTGTTGCAAACACTTTGAATGTTCGTCTAAATATGATTACAATTTTATTTTACGGGCACCAATTTGGTGTCGTACCGTGTAAACACAAAATGGCGACGTGTGCTGGAGTTACACACGCGACCTATCATTTTAGAAAAAAAACAACGCAAGATAAACATATTTTTATTGCATATATAAGGTTTGTGTGCGCACTTGTGATGTGTGCGAAATACTCATCAGTCGGAAAGCGCACATTAAATCTCCAAAGTAACTAACTAACTAATTTGTGATGTCAGTGTGCGAAATACGCTACAGTCGGCAAGACCACGTTGAATCTTCTACCGGTATATCAGTCAGACTTGTGATGTGTTTCATTCCAGGTCGCCTTATACACGGAGTATAGGATTTTGGGTTGATTTTTAAGGCGTGTACAGGGGGGTCGTCTTATACGTGGGGTCGCCTTATACACAGCGATATACGGTAATGCCTAGTGTGACACAGTTTCAATATAACGTGGGTATACAGTTATTGCTCAAATAATTTAGATCTTAAGACATGAGTTTGGGGCCATCCATTTGATATTCTAGGGTAGGGGTAGTGGGCAGGGGGGTCTATTTTAGGAAATTTATTTTTTTCTGAAAAAGCAGGAAAAGTGTAATTGGACTTCCAAGTTAAACAAAGAAAATATATTTCACTCCAGTTCCTCAGTAAGTATTGGTCTGTGTTTGAGGAAGCACCTCCCTGTCGTATAAGCCTGTTGACATCGTGTAGAAAGTTATTTGTGCATTTAGGCTAACTGGCCGGTCAGGATGTAAGTCATCATGTCAGTAAGTTTGCCACATCACATGTCACTTGGCTCACACTTTGAGTACCGGTACCATACATGGAGTCAACTACTCCCATTGGCTCAAACCCATGCTTGCTGGGGGCGGTCGGGTAGCCTGGTGTCCCCTGCCTTGATATTGCTAAAAGTGGCGTAAAACCATACTCACTCACTCACTCACTCACTCACTCACTCACTCACTCACTCACTCACTCACCATGATTGCTGTAAAAGGTGACCATGTTTGTCATAAGAGGCGACTAATGGCATCGGGTGGTCAGGCTCGAGGACTTGGTTGATGCATGTCATCGTATCCCAATTGTGTGGATCAATGCTCATGATGTCAATCACTAGATTGTCTAGTCCAGACTCGATTATTTGCAGGCTGCCGTCATATAGCTGGAATATTGCTGAGTGGGGCTTTAACAACAAACAAACCAACAAACAAATAAGGATCTGACGGCCAGAATGTCTATATAATAGATTGTTGCCCATGTTTTCAGCTTCTGTTTATGTGATTTCAGCTACCAGTAACGGGGCCCGAAGAGTTAAATATTTGGTATATCATCGGTCCCATCATAGCAATTGTGCTCCTGGTTGTTTTGATAGGTAAGTTCAGAAATTAACTACCATAGCTTCTTAAATGTTCGGGGCGGTGGGGTAGCCTAGTGGTTAAAGCATTCGCTCGTCACGCTCAAGACCCGAGGTCGATTCCCCACATGGGTACAATATGTGAAGCCCATTTCTGGTGTCCCCCGCCGTGATATTGCTGGAATATTGCTAAAAGCGGCGTAAAACCAAACTCACTCACTCACTCTTAAATGTTCGAGGAACCTCAATCATCCAAGGCAATGTAGTTCACTGTGCAGAGTTGTCTCCCCTTAGCAAGCCAGGAACCTATGACTTAGTGGTGATATGACTATTCATATAAGCATCACACCGGCGCCCTGGTGTATTAGATAGAGTGTCTGCCCGGAGAGCAGAAGGTTGGTGGTTTGATCGTCTGGCCATGTCATACCAAAAGACGTTAAAGATGGCACTTGGCATAGATAGGCCTAGTGGTAAACTGGTGCCTTTTGGGATATTTGAAAATGAATTTTCGAGGTTTCCATAGCAACGTGTTTGACTTTGACTGAAAATGGCAATATTTCTTGCCTTGCACACAACCAGACATGTCATGTTGACGGGGGGATATGAGTATTTCAGGCTTGTTGTGTTTCACTCTGCATCTGCAGTAACACATATGAAGAAAGTGTTCTTTTTGTTCCAGGTGTAATAATATTCCTGATGATGGCCCGGACGAAGAGAGCCACACGGGGAACATACAGCCCCAGTCGACAAGAAACTTCAGGAGCAAGAGTAGAGTTAGGAAATGTTTTGAAAAAGCCGCCCGAAGAACGGTTAATATGAACATCACTACACCCAAAGTCTGGTCACAGCCCAGACACATACTTCTTGTTGCTGGTTCTCGGAGAACAAAGTGATCTGTGTTCAGTGAGAGAACAATCATGCGGAAACATTCATGGGCAAACATCCATCTGGAGAACTGAGGTCCATGTGTGTGTGTCGAATTTGGATTGCTTCAAAGGGAGATAACTCAAGGATATTTATATTCAGACAAATATGTTGTGACTTCAATGAGACAGTGCCTTTAATTGGATTCCTGAGAGTGAAGAACTGGATTTAGAATATGGAAGTGCTTGGTGCTAGTTCGAAAGATTCTCAGAGACAGGGAAGAGACATTTGGCACAATATGATATTATTTTCAGTGTGTGTGTTGTATGTGTGGAAAATCTGACTTGGTATGATTCCGTAATCCTGGTGTGATTCCTTGTATTGATGGTATGATTCCTTGTGTTGATGGTATGATTCCTTGTATTGATGGTATGATTGTGCCAAAAGTGAAATGATCATTCTAATCATGGCAAAAAAGGAAGCTTTTTCACCAACATTATGACCAACGCATGATGGCGCTAAACATTCATTGTATATTTCTTCCAGGGTGTTGCTGCATCAAACATTATAGCCCAAACAGCTCATCATACAATATTGCCATGGGTTCTGTAGGCACCTGTTCAGACTCCACAGATTGTCAGTATTGGCCAATAATTCTACATCATTCAGGGAAGGAGGCTCATAGAGATCTATGATACTGTGATTCTATTTTATGTACTAAGCTAGAGCAATGTTAGTGTTTATATGTTTGACTCATGGTAGTCTATGATAGGAACAATGCAGGCAGTTTAATGTCAGGGCACTGGTTCACAAATTATTTTTAGCGCTATGATTGTTTTAAGTCTATGTTGAAGTATTGGAGTTAAGATAGCCATAGCGCTTTGGCTGCTTTGTGAAACGGAGCCTATGATTTTATTCACACTTCTTGAATAGACATTTGGTTAGGCACTACAGAGTTAATCATTATTTCATTATACCGTATTCGACGTAATAAGCGCCCACGGCGATATTTGCTAATATATTGGCTCGTGAACAATCCCAATTAGCACCCCTTCCGATTGATCAATGTACATAATACTTATTTATTCGCCCTCGTGTGTTTTATGCACCCTTAATTATGGGCAATTGAACTCTGGAAAAATATATCTCTCGTATATAAACGTTTCAGGCTGTCAGCATAAACCACAAAATTTATCTTTCAACTCTGTTTTTTTTTTGACAAAATAATATTCTAATAAGAGCCCCCTATTTCTAATTTATAGAGCGCCCTGGGCGCTTATTACGTCAAATACGGTAAATATTTTAATAATTTATATCTTTAATTGAAAATTTCAATTATGAATTCAGTGAAGGTTGTCAAATACAGTGAAATGATGGTTTATCTGAAATCCTTTGGCCACTGGTAAAATACTTTGTTTATACATATTTGAATTGGTAAAATACACTTTTCAAGTCATTGTGTTGATATCTGGATAAATTACTAACCTTTGCATACAAAGTGTTACATGTATGATGAATGCAGTACAGATGGATATTACAAAAACTGGATACAGATTGATAACCACTGTTACATCTTCAAGCAAGGGGGGGCCACTGGTGGCAAACTTGTCTTAAGAGTGCAAAACAGCTGTGCAGAGTTATGTCCCTTGTGGGTGCCAGAAATGTGGGTTTCACCGAAGTGGTAAACGTCTAAGACCTGCATCATTTCAGGCTTTCCTCTCACATCAATCTGACATGATATGACCGAATACTGGTCAAAGGGGCTTAAAACTTAACTCACTTGCATCTTGAAACATAATGCTACATCATGGTATCGCGATACATATTATATTGATAGTATCATTTATCATAAAACTGGCTCCCACAGTAGATATCGCTTGGGTAAGATCAAGTGATATCTACATTGTAGATATCGCTGCAATGAAATTGCATCACAATGCTCTGCAGACCATTGTGACGTCATTGTTACAATGATGTCACATTCAAATGACATCACTAATGGCTCTGCTACTGAAGCTGTTAGCAGTACTTTTAACACTTAAGACACTGCTTATTACTGTCTACAAACTGAAAAAGTTGGAAGAATGATATTGGATGATAAATAAAATCTCACCCTCGTGTCTTTGGATATAAAATATATCAACACTTGTTCATAAAAGGCAAGCCTAAGAGTTTTTCCACTTTTATCAACTCGTGATTGATGTATTTGATATCAAAAGACACTTGGATGAGATTCTCTATGTGTCTTTATGCCGCTATTCTGAGTCATGCTACATTGTAGTTTCAAAGAATTTCAAACGTTTTCTTTTTTGGAATTTTTCTGGCAGTAAATTGGAGGTCAAGTCGCCCAAGGCCAATTAAAGTTGGTTGACTGTGATAGAGAATATACTTTGTTGATTGTGAACTACGCAATGTCATTTATTCATACCACTGTACAAGGATTGCAATTAGCAGTAGCCCGCTAGCCGGGACCAGTTTTATTAATATTAAAGGTATCCCGAGGGCTTGTAGAATTTCAAACATTTTTTTTTTTGGGGGGGGGGGGGGGGGGGGCATTGCTTTATGTTATCACTAATCGGGCTTGTGGATGTTCTTGTAATTTCTATCCCTGATGTGCCTGCATCACCTTCTTGACACGACTCGATATAACTGAAAACTGTTCAAAGCAGCATTAAACATAACACTCTCACTCACTCATCCCAGTCCATACAAACTTAGCCATAAAATCTGAGGACTTCTTGAAATACTTGCCAACATTTCCCCAAGGAGGCAATAATTGCTTGTCATTATGACATTGTTGTTGTACTTGTTAATGCATACTGTGTTAGATTTCCTAAGGTGGATTTTTTATTGGATACTAGATTCTTACAGTAACAACAATAATAATGATGTTGATGCAATACGAGTTATATTTCCTTCCTGTGATATTGGTAGAACATGTGTAATATTTTCAGTGGCCTGGAGACATGTGTGTCACACATTGAAATGAATGTTGTTTAAGGTTGACAATCATTGCATGATGTCCTGCCTTGGAGTGCAGTGATAGCTGTATGCGTATGTCAGCAAGATCTTGTAGATATGTATAATGGGGACCAAGTATGGAACAAACTCACATTTTATAAGTTAAGATGATCAACAACATGATTAATCCTTCCTGAGCACATTAGAAGTGCTGGAATTGATATTTGTAGGACATACCTGTTCAGGGGTCAATTCAAATCTCTGAAATGTTGGAAATTGATCATTATTTATTTAATATTCAGGTTAGGTAATGAGGGAGGGTGTAAGTGGAGGAGGGGGTTTGTAGAGGAGGGTGTTAGTGGAGGGGAAGGTGTTAATGGAGGGGAGGGTGTTAGTGGAGGGGAGGGTGTTGGTGGGGAGGGGTCTTAGCTGGAAAGGGTGTTAGTGGTGGGGTGTGTGTTAGAAGGGAAGGGGTGTTGGTGGGGGAGGGGTGTTAGTTGGAAAGGGTGTAAGTGGAGGGGAGGGGTGTTAGCTGGAAAGGGTGTTAGTGGGAAAGGGTGTTAGTGGTGGGGAGGGGTGTTAGCAGGGAAGGGGTGTTGGTGGGGGAGGGGTTTTAGCTGGAAAGGGTGTAAGCTGGAAAGGGTGTTAGTGGTGGGGTGTGTGTTAGCAGGGAAGGGGTGATGGTGGGGGAGGTGTGTTAGTTGGAAAGGGTGTTAGTGGAGGGGCGGGTGTAAGGCGATAAACAGAAATACACAGGATGAAGTGTTTTCATCAAAATCTAAAATGATGCTTATTGTGATTACTTTTCTTTTTAAACAAGAAACATTCGAAACCAATTATCCAACATATTCCTACTCACCACACTAGTATGTATTCTTAACCTGATGTCACAAAATTTGTATTTGCTGTTTATGATATTAAATGTTAGAAATGTTGATCTGACTTCAGGAAATGATAATCATCAGTGACGGTGTTCTTATTTTGTGTTTACGAATGTTGCAGCATCTGGAGATATATACATTGATGCCCGCTTGTCAGCTTAAACTTAAGTACTAAATAATAGATTTTCAAGATCAACCCTAGACTATGTTTTATCTGTGTGAATAATCGTGTTGTTATTGGCAACTGTTGTAAATATATCAGTGTTGTCGTGCTGAGCTTGTGTATAATCATGTGTGAATATCATTGTCATTGATACGCGTGGAGGAAAATGACATATCATTATGTACATATCCTTGTCATTGATACGCGTGGAGAAAGCGACATATCATATGTACATATCGTTGTCCTGTATTGTGTTTCTACATGCTTCAATGTTTCCTTCTTGGAGGATAGTCCATTTTACATCCCTTTTGTACAAATTTATATGAACATCATATTGTACAGATATAAGTTTTAAATACAAGTTTAAAACAAATCAAACAATTTATTTTCTGTAATGTTATTGATAAAAAAAATAAATACCCAGAAAGATTGTGATGGATTTTTCTTGTTTTTGCACCAAAATTTACAAGCCTGTCCAGGGTGTGACGGTGCCACAATTTGCAGTGTACCTGGATCTCCATCTTCCCGAGGCAATGGAGGTAACTGACTACGGAAGTCCAGTTTCCACCCTTGCCAAACTAGGCTGGAATTTTGGTGTTACATTTTGGCTGGACTAACGAGTCCAATCAAAATCATGTAACGAACTAGAGAACAGGTTCATAAACAACAAGGATTTCAAGGTGCAGGTTTTGGTTGACCGCAGGATTTGCAAAGCATGTGTACCATCTACTTTGCGTCGACAGATATTTTACACATCTTTTCATATTTTTAATCAACGTGCTCAAGTGATCTGACGCACTTCGCATGCAAAAACCCTGTTATTACAATAGAAATGTTGATTATCCATCAGATCGTCCCGACTTGCGCCATCATTTTGTTTGAAACAAATGAAAGTGAAATGAGACATTGAATCTGATTGGTCAGAAGGAGGGACATAGAAGGGACATAGTGCGACCTGCGATCGAACCTGGAAATTTGTGAAGGTGTTTGTGAAGAGGTGAGCGTATCCTGCCCCACCAGTGGCTCCTGTCACAAACACATGCATAGGCAAGTCAATTGTTCACCTGAAAATACATGGGAACATGGTACAAGTGAAAATTGGGAATTGCATTGGACAGTCAAATTTGTAAATGTCCCTGACAGAAAACCTTTTGAAATCGTGATAGAAAGAGCATGCTTGATTGTACATCAAAAGCTGTGAAATATGGACACCAAAGGCTACTGCTGTTGCTGCACTATTGCTTGACATAAAGGTTAAGTTGACTTTTCGAAAGTTGAAGTTATCCCCCTTGTCATACAGTCTTGTTGGACCGCCTCTGTGGTCTAGTAGCAGAGCGTCTGCCTGGAGAGAGGAAGGTCGGGGGTTCACTCCTGGCCACGTCATACCAAATAAGGTAAAAGATGGTACTTGTTGTTACCCTGCCTGGCGCTCAGCATTACGGGGCTAAAATATAGAGTGGTCGGCTTTGAGTCAGTATGCTGTGTAAGAGTGGCATATTAATGTTAAACTGGGCGTGGGATAGCACCATAATATTGGCATTAGTCGGAATAATACAAGTAGCGACATACATACACACACACGTGCATGACGTCTCTATGTAAGTGCCATAATCTTGAACTCCACATTAAACCCAATTTGACCTCACCTCACCTCGCTTCAGTCTTGTGGACAGTTTTTTTGTCACTCTGAATCTTTATGCCTAGAATTGAATATGAAGCGGACAAGGCGGTTTCACTGGTCACCTTAATTTCTAGTTGAGTTAGGTAAATATTTGGAAGGGAATTGGCTACTTGATCGTTATTGAACTGTACTGAACAACAAAAGTTCCTGTGACATTGAATAAGATATAATGCAAAGTTATGTTTTCTACCAAATCTGAAACAATTTCGGTTTGCAACAGATAAAAGACTCCTGTAAGTGTTCAAATGGTTTAATTTGCCTTACTGACTTCAGAAAATGCGTGTTTTCATAAAAAAAGACATGAACATGCCAAAACGTCAATTTACAAATCAATAGCGTGTGTATCCACCTCTGGTTGCAATGCAAGCAACACATCTTCGTCTCATGGAATGGACCACGCGTCGCACAGTCCTGTGGGATATCTGTCCATATCTGTTGGGAGCATTTTTCGAAATTCCTGAAGTGTCTGTGGAACCAGTGGTTGACGTCGAAGGCGCCGATCTATATCATCCCACATGTGCTCGATTGGTGAGAGATCAGGGGAGCGAGCCGGCCAGGGGATGACCTTCAAGTTGTTTTGTTGAAGAGAATCCTGAACAAGTCGAACAATATGAGGCCGGGCGTTGTCATATTGAAAGGTAATGCCTGGGCCATGACGACACAAAAACGGTAGAAGAACAGGGCTCATGATCTCGTCGCGGTAGCGCTGTCCATTGAGATTTCCCTCTACTACTATCAAACGGGTCCTGTGTCTTGCTGTAATCCCACCCCATACCATAACGCTGCCGCCCCCGAACCGATCTTCTTCCATGACACAATGATTGACGTAACGTTCACCTCGACGTCGGTACACTCGAATCCGCCCATCGCTGTGGCTGAGGTAAAAACGAGACTCGTCAGTGAATAGAAGTTGTCCCCAGTGCTTGGCCGTCCAGCGTAGACGCTGTCTGTACCACTGTAGACGTGCTTGACGGTGGTTTCCTGTCAAAATGGTACGTCTGGCGGGTCTTCTGGCGACAATCCCTGCACATCTGAGGCGACGACGTACGGTTTGTGAAGATATTCGTCGAAGGCCAGGGATGCTTCTTGCAGTCACTGTTACTGGCTGGAATCGATTTCGTAGGTGTGTTGTTCGAATTCAGTTGTCTTGTTGATTATTGGTTACGCGTGGCCTGCTTCTCCGAGGATGGTCTATGACTGCATTAGTCTGTTGCCAACGTTGCCATAAACACCAAATGGTGTTTTCGTGGACGTTAAATTGTCTTGCAACATCACGTTGACTCGATCTTGCTTCAAGCATACCAATTGCTTGCAGACGCTCATTTTCGGACAGGCGTGGCATTTCGTAATGTTGAATAATAAACGTTATTCTGTTGTTTTTCTGAGTGGTTGTTGTCAACAATGCAAATGGAATTCTTGGGTAGTGAAATGCATGGGGCTTGCATAAATGTCAACTTATGAATGGAATTCTGTAGCAGTTGCGTTTTTGTGACTTGATTCCATACATGTACTACAATATTGAAAACCAAACTTAACTTGTATGAAAAATACACAACAATATTGGTGTCACAGGAACTTTTGTTGTTGAGTATATATCAGCTCATCAATACATCTGAACGTGGCATAATTTCTTTGTTTCAACTGTCGATCTGAGCAGAAAATCCAAGTCATGTCTTTCATATTGCTGAACAGATGACGAGGACGTACAAGAACAACTGATGTTTCTCGTCCGGTCGCACGGACTGAGACAGATCATACGATGGAAAGATTCAGAGGATGAACCTGAAAGGTAATTATCATTGCAATGGAGCAGTTACAAAAGATTATCAAGTTCGTTTTCTGTATTTTTTATAAGTATACTTTGTAAACAAAAGTTCTGAGAATAAATACAGCGTGTGATCATGATGCGTGACTAGTTTATGGTGAAATTTAGATATCAAACATCTGCTTAAGATGACCATCCTGGGCTTTATAGCTGCCAAAGCAAACAACTTTGATAATCTGTGTGCGCGTGTGTGTGTTGGCGCGCGCGTGCATGCGTATGTATATATGTATTGCACAAGATGTAAGACATTATATTTTGCAATGGTGGATTGTACTTCTTTTCAAAGATTAATGAAACACATAGAAAATAGTAAAAGTAGTTTATTATAATATCTACAGCGTTACGTTTTGATTCCCAAGTTGAAACGCTAAGGTTAACCAAGAAATCAGTTTGTACAGAAAGAATGAAATCAGGAAATAACATCGAAACACACATGATTAAGTTGATAAAAGGCAAAACAAGGGCAATATATACATAACTGCAAAAGAAACACAAGTTAAGTTTTTTGTGAAAGCCGAATGGAAATGAATGTAATAGGTTGTTTTTTACACATGCAGCGCAAATCACATGCAGATATACCGTGCATTTTCCCCCTTGTCCATCCTTTATAAGCCACTAAATAAAAAAGCACTAAGCATTTCACACTCGACTTTGAAAAAGTACAGGATACATGGTTCGATTAACTTGTGAGTGAGTGAGTATAGTTTTACGCCGCTTTTAGCAATATTCCAGCAAGATGACGACGGGGGAGACCAGAAATGGGCTTCACACATTGTACCCATGTTTGGAATCGAACCCGGGTCTTCGGCCTGGGGTGCGAACGCTTTAACCACTAGGCTACCCGACCGCCCGTTGGATTAACTAACTCCAGAGAGTCGTTGCCATTGGGATGCCACAGGCCGGATCAACGTCATATGCGATGTCGAGGCACTTTGGATGTCATGTGTCTACCATCAACAGATTGACCGCAAGGCATCAACAGACAGGCAGTGCCCATAGCTGGCCTCGATCTGGACAGCCAAGGGTCACAACTCCAGGGCAGGACCGTTACATCCGGGTGACACATCTGCGTGAACGACAGCCACGGGCAACACAGACAGCTGCAACCGCTCCATGTCCACGTCATCTCGTGGGGATGAGGAAGAATCATGGTGTGGGGAGGCTTCAGTTACCATCACAGTTCACAGGTCTTTATACCAAACAATTAGCACATCGCTGAAACTAATTTTGTTTTCTATACAAATGAATGCCATGTATTGCTTAGACATGGCTGGTGCAGTTAATACTGCCGTTTAAACAGTTTTAATAATATGTATTTCGTTGATCAATGGAGGGATATTAGTGGCTGTCATTTAGCTTACTACATGCAGGACTCTAGTCTTGTCCAAACGCCATCTATAATTATAACATGGAGCACCATATGTTTGGAAGAGACACAAATGAAAAATGAAATAAACACAGTCAATTGTTTAACAACAAATAAATGAAATAAAACTTACAATATCACATTAAACATACCTGTTACATTACAATTTCTCTAAAGTGAGGTGAGGTGAAATTGGGTTTAACGTCGCGTCCAAGATGATTGCACTTATATAGCGACGTGCATGCGCGCGTGTGTGTGTGTGGCTGCTTGTACTAGTCCGGACTGATTCCGATTTATAGTGCTAGCACACTGAGATACCATGCCGCAGTTTAACATGAATATCCAACTCAAACACAGTATACTGACTCCGAGCCGACCAGTCCTTGTTTCAACCTCTTAATGCCGAGCGCCAGACAGGTTAACAACAAGTACACGCGTCAGTCTTTTAACGTCTTTTGGTATGACCCGGCCGGGGAAAGAACCCCGGACCTTCAGCTCTCCGGGCGGACGCCCACCACTAGACCACGGAGGCGGTCCAATTTCTCTAAAGCTGTACACACCATATTCACGTCTAACCTAAAATAGCATTTTGTCGTACAATAACCTATCCTAGATTTAGACACAGACTATGAATGAAATAATCATCGGTGTTGGATCCATCCCCTCCATTTGAAATTCACAACCGGCAAAATGTACCCCCTCCCCACGGAGGGTAAAAGCAGTTAGTTTAAAAACAACTTGGATCCGCCTCTCATCACTAATAATCGATAATAAACATACATACAATCAACCTGACACACAAACACTGTTTTCACATTGGCATGTATCCGAAAAAAATCCAAAGTAAGTTCCCGATATTTTTTATTATATAAATCAAAGGCTAACACGTCTTCAGTTGTATCACTTGTCCTGTTTGTATATAAATAAGCGTATATAATGCACGTGGTGGTGAGTATTAACCTGTTTTATATTTATTTTTAAAATGAGAACTCAATTCCTTTCAGGGCTCATGGATACTGTGCATTCAGAAGAATCTCAACTTCAAGTCTAAGGACCTAAGACGTCCTAAAAAATTAGAAAAGTTCATCCTTCATGTTTTGTGAATAAAATGAGAGAATCAGACTCATACAGGCGCTTTAAATATGTACGACCATAAACTGAAAATGTAAACTTTTATACGCCAAACCTGTGCCAAACATATTGCCTTAGCATGTAATGTGATCAATTCGCATGGTCCTATGCAACTGTTGTACGATGGCAGTCAGTCATGGATTATTAACAATGAATGCCAAAATAATTTCTCAACCAACTTCTTTAAGTTAGTTTGGATCTTCCCAGACAGATGCCTCAAAATGCAATCATGTATGTGTTGCATAACGCTGCACTCATCAATATTCCAGCTAAATGACGGCGGTCTGTAAATAATCGAGTCTGGACCAGACAATCCAGTGATTGACATCATGAGCATCTATCCACGCAATTGGGATACGCTGAAATGCATCTGGAAATCAAGCCTGTATTCTTGGCCGTTTTTGACAGATTCGAGTCGGCCCCTCTGTGGGTCAGCGGTTGCTCTATCGTAGGCGACCTAATCGTTTACTAAGCACCCTGACAATATATATGCAATGTTGTGGATGATATAGTTTTGAAACTATTATTAAACAAAAAGGCTCATTAAGTACTGAATTGATTCATCTGTCGTTGGATATAGAACTTTGGTGAAGCGCCATGGTGTGGGTACATTGGTTTGAGTGGATTGCCGATCTGAATTATGGAAACACCGATACTAGTGTTCATTTAAAACTTGGAGCCGAAATGAATTTTTATTTTATTATAATACTACACTCGCATATAAAACAAGCATTGAACTTCAGCAAGATAGGAAGAGAACGTGACGTGGGCACCCATAAAATCATCATCAAGCCTACCACTCACTATGACGCAGAAACTATGACGTCACAGTTGGCTGTCAAAAAGTTCCAAAATTCAAGGAAATCTTGGGTCTCAAACGACACTGTCTTTGTTGATTAATTTTCTGCATTGATAGAAATTTGGTTCCAAATATATCCTTGGGACAACACGGTCACAAACGTAAAAATGATAATACTTTATACACATAATGTAAAGATGTTAGCAACGTGGTGTTTCTTCTAGTTGGTACGGTCGTAATGTTGCCTCGGAACTTCTTATAATAGTCGTCAAGGTGCCACATGTTAAAAAGAACTAATCATCAAATATCAAATATGTCTATTTTTCAAATGCGGTATTTCCTGAATACATTACTGTCGTACAGTGAGTGAGTATCGTTTTACTCCGTTTTTAGCAATGTAGCAGAGGGGCACATCAGAATTTACCAGGACTTCACACATTGTGCCCATGTGGGGAATCGGACCCGGGTCTTCGGCGTGACGAGTGAACGCATTAACCACATGGCTTCCCCACCGCCCCACTGTCGTACAGAGATGGAGGAGTTGGAAGGAGAGTTGTCCCTGGGTCATCTGAATTTGTTAATACGGATCAGGGTAAAAGGTAAACACACTACAATTCGTAGAAAATCCCAGTAAGGAATCCATCGGCTAGGCTGTTGTAATAATCACTTTCCCCACATTGCCCCAGTGTCCACACAACACCAGATGCTTCATGCCTCATTACTCGCTGATTGTTCATTTCACATGTATAATTACAACATGAAGAGGCCCTGGTGACTTTGATTTTTATCTTCTTTCCTTTGCTGACAGTCAGAGGTGAAGGAAACATCATCACATCTGAGAGTTGTCCCTCTTTCACATCCGGGACCTGCTGATGCTGCAGCAGGTTTGTGTCATCACTGTCAGTAATAACTATGTCTAGAGACACCTTCTCCTCCACCTCCCTAGCATACACGCTCAGCCCGGTCAGGTGAACACTGGTATCACAGGATAAATACAATGCATCACGTTGATAATCTATTTCGTCAAAATACCCGCAGGTCTTTTGGTCAGGAGGTAAGCGAGACAAGTAAAAGACAGGAGATTTCCGAGATATGTCACAGAACGGCCGTATATCCATGTCGCTGATAGAGTATTTTCGTAAGAACATTATGACATGGGCATCACTTAAAATACCTTCATTGCAGACAGTTGTGGCAAATTGCGCCATTGAAATAAATGGAAAACGAATGAGAAACAAACACTCTCCCAACACTTCTCTTTTCTCTTCTGGAGTTACCTCCCTTCCCTGACGTCGACATTCAGCTTCCGCCCAAGACATCACAGATCGGAAGATGCAAATCTCGTCAACTCTCATGTCATCTGCCTTCAGGATCAGCTTTAGACATTCCTTGCTTAGCTCACAGAATCCGTCGCTAGCAATAGTCACCTCCACTCTGGATTTAATTACCAGAAGAGCTCTGGCCTTGAGGTCTTCTTTATCAAACAGGACTGCTTGTTGTAGGAATACACATGCGTTGCTAGGCGACAGAGATTGTAAGCAGAACTCCTCACATTGCGTTTCCAGTCCTGGGACGTTGTATTTCCTAGCAGCGTACATCAGACCAAGGACAGTGTTAGGAGTTAATGCGACTTCCCCCGTGTAGAGGTACCTGGTGATGAAATGTTAATGTTATATACAGTCTCACTCGGGTGTGTTTGGATATCAAATGTATCAACTCAGGCTTGCTGAGACACAAGGGTGGGATTCTATTAATCATCAAAAATCATTATTTAGCTTAACTTTCTGAATAGTAACACCAAGTGTCGTGGATGTAACTAATACAGCCACAGTTTCAGTGGCAGTGGGATTAGTGATGTCATTTGTTTGTGATGTCATGGTAACCGATGACATCACACTGGCCGCAAAGCATTGTTACAATTTCATTGATCTCACATACAGATATCTCTCATGGAAATGAGTTTTGGGTGAAACATATCTTTTAATTGCTCACAAAACAGCTCTAGTTATGGTAATATGCTATTATGTCATATTGTGGCTGCTGGAGATTGTGCCATGTCAACAACTTGTTCTCTTTGTACCTTCTGTTATCTTCTGTTATCCGTCTGCCAGATAGTTCGAAATATACCAATAAAACATCTCAACTAACCTTAGAAAGGTCTTGAAGTTCTCTGTCTGAATATCAGGAATCAGTACTTGGCCCGTCTCGGGGATCGATCCACAGAACATCGCGTGAAACACGCAGCTACGGCTGACTAAAATGAATTTGTGAGCCTGGATTGTCTCCCTTTGATCTCCAACGAGGAAGGTCACATCAGCCAACAACAAACTGTCCAACATGTGCAGGTTGGTTTCCGGGAAGGTCTTCCCACTTTGCCAATTGTCAACATCAGTTGCCATGATGTGTCTGAACAAACGAAATGAAAACACTCTGTATTCCCTCTGAGGAAGACTTATTTTGTTTTAATAAATTTAACTAAAAACGTTTTCGTGTTCTTGAAACCTTGATACTGGAGTCGCAATATGGACCAGGATGTGGTGATCGCAGGCTCTGATGCCGGATTCGTCTTGATCACGATCCTTGGTTTGACAGCACCATACACTTAGATTTCACCAACACGGAAACCTGCTCCACATTGGGCTTCTAATCCCACAATAAGATGTCACGCACTCACTCCACCAACACTAAGATGTCACTCACTCAGTCCACCACACTAACTTGTCATTCACTCAGTCCACCAACACTAACATGTCACTCACTCAGTCCACCACACTAACATGTCACTCACTCAGTCCACCCACACTAACATGTCACTCACTCAGTCCACCCACACTAACATGTCACTCACTCAGTCCACCCACACTAACATGTCATTCACTCAGTCCACCCACACTAACATGTCACTCACTCAGTCCACCAACACTAACATGTCACTCACTCAGTCCACCCACACTAACATGTCACTCACTCAGTCCACCACACTAACATGTCACTCACTCAGTCCACCCACACTAACATGTCACTCACTCAGTCCACCAACACTAACATGTCACTCACTCAGTCCACCCACACTAACATGTCACTCACTCACTCCACCAACAATAACATGTCACTCACTCAGCCCACCAACACTTAGATGTAACTCACTCATTCCACCCAAACTAAGGTGTAACTCATTCACTCCACGAACGCTTAGATGTCACTCACTCACTCCACCCACACTAAGATGTCACGCACTCACGTCAACCCGCACTAAGATATCACTCACTCACTCCACCTACACTAAGATGTCACTCACTCACTCCACCTACACTAAGATGTCACTCACTCCACCCACACTAAGGTGTCACTCCCTCACTCCACCCACACTAAGATGTCACTCCCCCACTCCACCAACACTAAGATGTCACTAACTCACTTCACCCACACTAAGATGTCACGCACTCACTACATCGACATTAAGATGTAACTCCCTCACTCCACCCACACTAAGATGTCACTCCCTCACTCCACCAACACTAAGATGTCACTCACTCACTCCACCAACACTAAGATGTCACTCACTTACTTCACCCACACTAAGATGTCACGCACTCACTCCACCCACACTTAGATGTCACTCACTCACTCCACCCACACTTAGATGTCACTCACTCACTCCACCCACACTTAGATGTCACTCACTCACTCCAAACACACTTAGATGTCACTTACTCACTCCACCAACAATAAGATGTCACTCACTCCACCAACACTTAGATGTCACTCACTCACTCCACCAACAGTAAGATATCACTCACTCACTCCATCCACACTAAGATGTCACTCACTCCATACAGCCTAAGATGTCACTCACTCCATCCACACTAAGGTGTCACTCACTCACTCCATCAACACTAAGATGTCACTCACTCCACCAACACTAAGATGTCACACACTCACTCAACCAACACTAAGGTGTCATCCACTCACACCACCAACACTAAGGTGTCAATCACTCACACCACCCACACTAAAATGCGACTCACTCACTCCACCCACACAAAGATGTCACTCACTCACTCCACCCACACTAAGCTTTCACTCACTCACTCCACCAACAGTACGAAATCACTCACTCCACCAACAGTACGATATGACGCACTCCACCAACACGAAGATGTCACTCACTCACTCCACCAACACGAAGATGTCACTCACTCACTTCACCCACACTAAGATGTCACTCACTCACTTCACCCACACTAAGATGTCACTCACTCTACCCACACTATGGTGTCACTCACTCACTCCACCAACAGTCAGATATCACTCACTCCACCAACACTAAGATGTCATGCACTCAATCTACCCTCCAACCACACTAAGATGTCACGCACACCACCAACACTAAGATGTCACTCACTCACTCCACCAACACTAAGATGTAACTCACTCACTCCATCCACACTAAATTGTCACTCACTCACTCCACCAACAGTAAGAAATCAATCACTCCACCAATAGTAAGATGTCAAGCACTCAACCAACAATAAGATGTCACTCACTAACTCCACCAACACTTAGATGTCACTCACTCACTCCATCCACAATAAGGTGTTACTCACTCACTCCATCCACACTAAGATGTCACTCACTCACTCCACCAACACTAAGTTGTCACGCACTCACTCCACCCTCCAACCACACTAAGATGTCACGCACATCACCAACACTAAGATGTCACTCACTCACTCCACCAACACTACGATGTCACTCACTCACTCCATCCACACTAAGGTGTCACTCACTCACTCCACCAACAGTAAGATGTCACGCACTCCACCAACTCTAAGATGTCACTCACTAACTCCACCAACTCTAAGATGTCACGCACTCACTCCATCCACACCAAGATGTTACTCACTCACTCCACCAACAGTAAGAAATCACTCACTCCACCAAAAGTACGATATCACTCCTTCCACCAACACTAAGATGTCACGCACTCCACCAACACAAAAATGTCACTCACTCACTCCACCAACACTATGATGTCACTCACTCCACCCACACTATGATGTCACTCACTCACTCCACCAACACTAAGATGTCACTCACTCACTCAACCAACACTAAGGTGTCATCCACTCACACCACCCGCACTAAAATGCCACTCACTCACTCCACCCACACAAAGATGTCACTCACTCACTCCACCCACAATAAGCTTTCACTCACTCACTCCACCAACAGTACGAAATCACTCACTCCACCAACAGTACGACATGACGCACTCCACCAACACGAAGATGTCACTCACTCACTTCACCCACACTAAGATGTCACTCACTCTACCCACACTATGGTGTCACTCACTCACTCCACAAACAGTCAGATATCACTCACTCCACCAACACTAAGATGTCATGCACTCAATCTACCCTCCAACCACACTAAGATGTCACGCACACCACCAACACTAAGATGTCACTCACTCACTCCACCAACACTAAGATGTAACTCACTCACTCCATCCACACTAAATTGTCACTCACTCACTCCACCAACAGTAAGAAATCAATCACTCCACCAATAGTAAGATGTCAAGCACTCAACCAACAATAAGATGTCACTCACTAACTCCACCAACACTTAGATGTCACTCACTCACTCCATCCACAATAAGGTGTTACTCACTCACTCCATCCACACTAAGATGTCACTCACTCACTCCACCAACACTAAGTTGTCACGCACTCACTCCACCCTCCAACCACACTAAGATGTCACGCACATCACCAACACTAAGATGTCACTCACTCACTCCACCAACACTACGATGTCACTCACTCACTCCATCCACACTAAGGTGTCACTCACTCACTCCACCAACAGTAAGATGTCACGCACTCCACCAACTCTAAGATGTCACTCACTAACTCCACCAACTCTAAGATGTCACGCACTCACTCCATCCACACCAAGATGTTACTCACTCACTCCACCAACAGTAAGAAATCACTCACTCCACCAAAAGTACGATATCACTCCTTCCACCAACACTAAGATGTCACGCACTCCACCAACACAAAAATGTCACTCACTCACTCCACCAACACTATGATGTCACTCACTCCACCCACACTATGATGTCACTCACTCACTCCACCAACACTAAGATGTCACTCACTCACTCAACCAACACTAAGGTGTCATCCACTCACACCACCCGCACTAAAATGCCACTCACTCACTCCACCCACACAAAGATGTCAATCACTCACTCCACCCACAATAAGCTTTCACTCACTCACTCCACCAACAGTACGAAATCACTCACTCCACCAACAGTACGACATGACGCACTCCACCAACACGAAGATGTCACTCACTCACTCTACCAACACGAAGATGTCACTCACTCACTTCACCCACACTAAGATGTCACTCACTCACTTCACCCACACTAAGATGTCACTCACTCTACCCACACTATGGTGTCACTTACTCACTCCACCAACAGTCAGATATCACTCACTCCACCAACACTAAGATGTCACGCACTCACTCCACCCTCCAACCACACTAAGATGTCACGCACACCACTAACACTAAGATGTCACTCACTCACTCCACCAACACTAAGATGTCTCTCACTCACTCAATCCACACTAAAGTGTCACTCACTCACTCCACCAACAGTAAGAAATCTCTCACTCCACCAATAGTAAGATGTCACGCACTCCACCAACACTAAGATGTCACTCACTAACTCCACCAACACTAAGATGTCACTCATTCACTCCATCCACTCTAAGGTGTCACTCACTCACTCCATCCACACTAAGATGTCACTCACTCACTCCACCAACAGTAAGAAATCACTCACTCCACCAACACTAACATTTCACGCACTTCACCAACACTAAGATGTCACTCACTAACTCCATTAAACGTAAGAAATCACTCACTCCACCAAAATTAAGATGTCACGCACTCACTCCACCCTCAAACCACACTTAGATGTCACGCACATCACCAACACTAAGATGTCACTCACTCACTCCACCAATACTAAGGTGTCATCCACTCACACCACCAACACTAAGGTGTCAATCACTCACACAACCGACACTAAAATGCGACACACTCACTCCATCCACACAAAGATGTCACCCAATCACTCCACCCGCACTAAAATGCGACTCACTCACTCCACCCACACAAAGATGTCACTCACTCACTCCACCCACACTAAGCTTTCACTCACTCACTCCACCAACAGTACGAAATCACTCACTCCACCAACAGTACGATATGACGCACTCCACCAGCACGAAGATGTCACTCACTCACTCCACCAACACGAAGATGTCACTCACTCACTTCACCCACACTAAGATGTCACTCACTCACTTCACCCA